AAAGAACGTCCAAAAATGATATCCAGAGCCCCGAAAACCACCCAAAACTGTCCTGGATGATTTTCCGACGACAATAATCGATTATCATATGTGATAATCGATTATTTGCAAGAGCTTTGAAGATGATACAACTCTTTGACTAGAATAATCGATTATCAAGTGAGATAATCGATTATTCTTATCAGTTTTTGACAGCAACGTGATTTTTCTGGTTTTGGTGCATCTTAGACATATCCAATTGAACAATTTAAAATCTGTAACACTAATATTGATATGAAACATGTTTATAAATGAAAGTAAAGTATTACATTAGTCATTTGGATAGGAATTAGATGTACTAAACCAACTCAATTTCTACTCCAAAACATCAAACTCAATAACTAGAGGACCCCAAACCCAATTCTAACACTTTGTACCTATTCTGACCAATTTGGTGACTCAAACAAGTCACAATCCACTTGCTAAGACTGCCTTAATAGCCCAATTGGTCATCGGAGAAGAACCCAATGTCTGAATGCATCAAACTCACCTTCAACGAAAGCACATATGATTAGTCACAACTGACTGGACCAAGCCAGGGCTGCTTTATGATCAGGGATGTGCCAACTCAGGTTTTTAAGGTTCCTCTATCCTACCAACAACGTACTCTCATAAAATCCTGCAAACTGTACTATGTGTCTTAGACTCCAATTACCCAAAGGCTATACATCACTTTAATTCTCACGAAACCCTTTTCTTCCTTTTTTTATATTTCTCAAACAAAAGTTCTTACAGTACCTGTACTGATATGTTAAATATGCAGAAAACTCCATTCCTTTTATCTTCACTAAACCCATCTAAATTTTAGCAATCAATTCCATCATAACAACTTACCACCAATACATTTTTACATGCACAATTTTCAGCATCATAACACAAGCCAATTTATACTCAACAGGTACATAACAATTTAAATCAACACACCAATTCATGATTCAACATGCATATATCTCATACATTAATTTCAACCAAAAATAACTAGCTCCCCTTACCTTAGAGTTGAACTACCAAGCTCACAGGAACACTCCTTTATGGTGTCTCACACCACGAAAATTCCACCACGCCCTATAAACCACCCAAGTGGTGACATCAACAACTCTTAGAGCTTGATTTGACAGAGAGTATGAAAAGAAAACTTCACTGGTGACATGCAACCAGTAATATTGCATGCCCTAGGCTCAAAGACAACGAATGAAAAAGGGAAAAACGACTTACCGGTCGGAACGGAGAAAACGTTCAGTAGAAATGAAGCTCTCTATGCCGCGAACGCTTGGGTAGCGCCTATCTCGAATTCTTACGGTTTAGAGAGTTGGAAATCTAAAGAGAAGGCAGAGAAAACTTTAGGGCACAAGAGTTTAGAGAGAGAAAAGAGCTCAGGAAAGTTAGAAATCTGAGGAACCCTTCCTAAGGTCTGGTTAGCCTTAGAGTGATGGGCCTATTTGCCCCCATGTAAGGCCCAATGGACTAATAATTTATCAGACCCTTACACAAAATATAACCAATACCAGATATAAGGAACAAAAGACAAAGTGCAATTAGAATTAAATACAATTTAATCAAATCAAATTCCTAAAAAAATTTGGCTAACTATATGCAAAATGTGGTATCCAAAAATTTGGAAAAGGAAAACACAAAAATCACATCAGTGCGATGTATATCGAAAACCAAAAACTAACAGTGAATATTTGAGGGTGGTGTCACAATCGAAGTGAAGGAGTCGACGCTAGTGAGGAAGAAAACAGAACTTGTCAAGAGAACTCGTGACTGTTCAAAAATAATGTTCATGCACGAAAACAATCTATCAAAATGAAAGAAAATCATACCCAAAGCATCCAAGCAACATTCATTTGCGTTAAATGAAGCAAAAATTACTTTTGGTGGTGTTCGCAATTGTTGCTAGAATAGTTTAAAGGGCTGAGAAGAGAGAGCGCTAAGAAAGAGTGGAAGGGAAATGTTCTCTTATGTTGTTTTTTAATTTATAAAATATCGACGAATACTCTCGGGGACCGACGTCATATCACATTAGACGTCAGACAAGTAGGGGGACCAACGTCTAATGGGTGTAAAAGATTACTTTTGCACTGCATTTTTTAATGATTTAAACAGAATTAGGCGTCGGTCCTTGGGACCATCTGACGTCCAATGTGATATGACATCGGCCAATTGACTCTTCGACATCATAAGCACTAATGTAGTCAAGGGAAACGACAACGATTATTTTCACACATAGCCAACGGTTCCAAAACTTAGGCATATACAGGCGAGGCAAAAAGTCTACCCCTTTTTGCCTCGGTTGTAGACCGAGGCAAAAAAGATACTCGATTCTAAGATGACCGAAGTAGTAGGATTTTCCTCTTTTTTTTTAAAGGACTTTTCGCCTCGGTTCTCCTTGAACCGAGGTAGTATCTTGGACTTTTCCATATTTGTACCCTCGTATCTTTTTCTGCAAAAAATGAAATAATTTTAATTTTCTTTTAAATTAAGTGATATTTTTCACTCAATTTTATCTCTCTTCTGTTTTCCTCGTTTCCCTCACTTTCTTTGATTTTCTTGTCTTATTGTCTTATAATCCAACAAGATTATGTCTCCCAAATTATAGTTATCAAGGAATAAAAATAAAAATTCTAACTTTTGTGGTAAACTCGCAGCAAATGAAATATATGCAAATGTTTGCAAATTTCACGGTTACTTTATAATAACTCATATAAATGACAACTTTTACAACTTAATCATTTTATTGAATAAAATAATATATAACATATTAAAGAAATTAAATAATTTAAAGGTTCATGAACATGTGATATAATTATAATAATGGTTTTTCTAATATAATAAATAGTAAAATGTTTATAAAAATAATGTGAAGCACAAACATACCAATTAATTTAATTCTATGAAAAATATAAACTAACCATTATATTAAAACTTGGCTTAATATCCCTGATGGTCCCTATTTTTGTCAAGTACGTTCGATTTGGTCCCAGTTTTTTTTTCTGTTCAATATTGTCCTAAAGAATGTAATTTTTGTTCAATTTAGTCCTTTTTGCAAACGACGTTTAAATTGTTAACGACCATTGCTGCAGCTGTGCAATCTTCTTCTGAGATGGCATTTAACTTTTGCCACGTCACCATTCGTTTTCAGGCAGCTTTTTTTGATATGGTGACACATCCATCGGTGAACCGTGTAGTTGGTCTTGGGAAACACTTTCCTTCGAAAGAAAACCCTCTCCATGTCATCGTTGGGTTATGCTGTAATGCTTCAGATTTTCTCTAATTCTACTCATCCTTATTTTGCTACTCTTTTGCTTATGTTTTCCCTCTTTGCCAACTTTTGGTGCAGGTGTTTCAAACTCAACAAAAGACAAGCCCAAACTATCTTGCTTACCAGTAAACACAAATCCCTCCTCCTCCTTAACTAGGTTTAACTTCTCAAATTTCTCCAACAAATTCGCTCCCATTTCACATTTTCCAAATGTAGTCACAATCTCCAAACTAGGTTTAACATCAACTTTACTCTTGCGAATATTACTACCAATAGAGTCATTCACATTCAGATTCTTCAACTGACATAAAACTTGAGTTGAGTTCTCAGTAGCAGCATTATTACATCTTCCTTTTCTTAATGTTCAATTTCTTCCTCAGGTCATTTCGTAGGTCCGATTCGCTAAAACCTGTTCCACCTTGTTCAACTTGTTCATCTATTCAGAGACCGAGTTTTTGTCAACACGCAAAGAAGTATTAGTAGCGAACACAAACTCACCATGGCATGCGGTGTCTAAACCTTTGCGGATTTTGAGATTCTGGAATCGATCGCCAATTGGCGACATTGGCGGCATCACCGTTGCGAAATGGATTGAAAGCGGGGACGTTGTTGGGATTCCGAACCTTGACGAATCTGGGCCAGGACAGGCCCGAAGCGGAAGAGGTGCTACTGAACGTGAAACCTGAGGTTGAGGCTGTCGCGTTCGCTTTTAGATTCGAAAACCTATTATCGTCATTAGCGTTGGGCAATTCCATTGCTTGGCTCGGTCGTTTTGGATTTTCGATAATCCAAATCAAGGACAAAGGAGGTGGTGTTGCCCTAATGAGACGGAGCAAGTCACTGGAGACGCGTCGGAATCATCGGAGTAGTGATTGAATCGACGATTCTTCTTCGTCGGGTTTCAGCAATCATTGGAACGCAAAGCAATAAAATATGTCTACTCTAAATTCAAAATTAATAGCAGCTAATAATTAATTTCTACGATGGTGGTGGCGTTAGGGTTCGGTGGCGGCGCTAAGGTTAGAGAGAAAGTAGGGTTTCCGTTTCTGTTTGGGCTGAAGCTTGAAGAAGATGGTGATGTGGCAGAAGTTAAATGCCATCTCAGAAGAAGATTGCACAGCTTGAGCAATGGTTGTTAACAATTTAAACGTTGTTTGCAAAAAGGACTAAATTGAACAAAAAATACATTCTTTAGGATAACATTGAACAGGAAAAAAAACTAGGACTAAATCGAACGCACTTGACAAAAATAGGGACCATCAGGGGTATTAAGCCTTAAAACTTTCATCCAAGTTAGATTGGTAAAATTTAATTTTCATAAAATGTTGATAATAGTGTATGTTTGTCAAGAGACCAACACTTCCTGTCAACTAACCCCATCCTAATTACAACTCCAAAAACATACTCGACAATATGACTAATGGTAGCCCTGCTTCACCAGCACCCCCCAAACAGCCAGCACATTCAATTTCCATGGTTCCCCAACTCTCAAAGCAAGTGGTGCAATCAGTCCACATACAAAGAGTGTCAGGCAAATGACAGTCTGCATAAACTCTGCAAAAACATCATTCAACAGAAAAAGTTAAACTTCTGAATCACAGACTCGCTTCTTCATACACAACATTGCAAGTTCCTCCTTTTCAACTTAGCATAAGCAACCATGAATAATTAGAAACTTAATTTTATATATCTTTGAGTAAAAGTTCTTAAAAGAAGGATTTGAAATATAGCCTAAATTAAATCTTATATATTGCACTCCTAGCAAAATTTTTGGCATCCTAAAATGAAACAAGAAAACAAGCATTATAATGAAGCCTTATGAAGATGCTAAGAGTTCCATTATGTGTTCTAAAAATGACTGAGGCTTTGGAATATGTAAAATCAAGATTACTACCCAGGTTGACAGCAACAAAGACATAACTCTCTACAAGGTTGAGCTAAGTCATTGCGAACTCTTCGGTCATAACAAGTAATGAAGCACCCAGATAAGCCAAGTGGTATGAAAAATAATAGAGCTCCTACATTAGAAATTACCAACAAAAAATTAACCAAAACCAATATCTTTTTGACTTTGGAACAATGAAACATTAAACTCAAGGCAATGGACTCAATAATTCACAAAATAAATATTGCATTAGCATGTTGATGACACAATTAAAGTTAATCGCAATTTACCACATATGTAGTAAAAGCTCATTTCACTATCAAAACCCCAAAGAAGACGAAGCCAATATTGTTGATAACCATCAATTAAATAAACCAAATATGTTAGTGATGCAATGACCTGCATAAGCATTGAAGGGGTTGAATCAGATTAGCTATACGCACTCACAAAGTACAAATGGACAAGTATATACATGGCTAGACAAATAGAAACAAATCACCTACAAGCTTAACAGACAAAAAAATAAACAGAATGCCTTTGGTGACAAAAAACTGAAATTTCAGGGTACGCCATTTCCTATTAGCAGCAACATGAACACGCAAATGGTAAGGAGCCTTGCCTGTTGTATAGTGAGCAAAGGCTCCTGAGGTGGAAGATGACCGTCGAAGAACGACGTTGGATCTAGCGAGGGAGATTCTGAAGGCGACGCCGAAGGGGAATGTTGTAGTTCGGACTCAAGATTGGGCTTGAGAGTGGTTAGGGTTTTGGAAGGGGCTCTGTTCGAGTATGCCAAGTTTGAGTGGGTGAAGGAGCTTGTAAGAGACTACGAGGTGGCAGAGGTTTCTGACTCGTTTCCTCGTAGAACCGAGGCAATATAGTGGGTCAGCAACGTTTTGTGCCTCGGTCTCCTGAATAACAGAGGCAGTATATTCCCTTACGAGGTATATAATGTCTCAAATATTACAGTTTTCCCACCGCATTTTTATATGCTTCAGTTTTTCAAAAACCGAAGGACAATGGACGATTTAAAATACAGATTTTGTACTAGTGAAGGATACAGGAAAGGTCTTTTCATGAAGATTTTATTTAATTATTTAAAAATTATTAGACGACCAGTTGACTATTCGACGTCTAATGCATTATGACGTTGGCTCCTTGATTGTCCGACGTCAAACTCTTCGAAAACATTCTTTTCCAGCTAGTTTTTTAAAATTTTAATAAGAATTAGACTTGAGTTCCCCTTGAACAAACGTCTGAAGTACATATGACATCGGCTCTATGAAAGGTCTAATGTTTAATTGGTCATTTTATTTACAAAACATATCACTAGTCATTTTTTAAGTTAACTTTTTTCTTAGCTGACGTTGAATATTAGACGTTAAAAACCCATTTAACACTAGTGGAGTCACTTATCTATCCAAGAACTTCATCAATTTTAGTCGTCGAATGGTGGCAAGAACTTATTGGTGTCAAAGAAGAAAATTGTCATCATCAAGTTTTAGAGAAATTGGAATATGAAAAGTATGAGGAAAAAAATTGGAAGAGGAAGGAAATGAATCAGAGTTGATAGTGGCGGAAGATGACGAACTCATGGAGAAAAAATTTCGCTCTAAATACCATATAATTAAGGAGAAAGAGGCAAAAGGGTGCAAAAGGAAGAAAATATTTATTTTAATATTAGTGATTAAAAACAGAGAGAAGAAGAGTTATATAAAGAAGAATATAACTGATAAAACAATTATCAATTATACAGACAGGTTAACCTATGTAACAATGCTCATAAACCAACCGGGTATTTATAATAACTAGTTTAAAATAAGCAAAAGATAAGTATGATGAATTTCGTTACATGAAAAGTAAAGTATGGAGACCCGTGTTTATTCATTTTCTCTTAATTGTCTCTCTTATTTAATAAGTGGAGACACATATAAGATCGGACATTAAATCTCAAAACAATAAAAAGAATTCTTTTTAAAATACGTAGGATTTCATTTGAATAAATTAGGTTGCCAACTACACATGGATCACTGTAAATATAAGAAATACAGTAAGAGTATGCTGTTTTACCAGATACCTTTTCATAACTATTTACTAGGGACTGTAGGCCCCATCAGAATGGTTGAATATAATTCTCATTTCTTGTCATTGCACGAATTTGATTACTTATTTGAAACAAATTAGTTAAGCTTCTGTACATATAATTGTGCTTTTATTTATATTTTTTTGTTAGGTTAGCTGTGATTTCCGCATTGCATTCTCAGAGGCGGAGGGAACAATGATGATACAAGTATCATGAACAAAAGTTTATTCTAAGTCTCTTTTTTGTTGTTTGAAATGCTTGAAATACAAATATACATGGCCATCTATTGTATGGGATTAAGTTAGTTATATTCTGTATGCATGTTAGTCCTGAACTTAAAATACTTTGAAGATTGAACTTCGTAACAATGTCATGTCTGCAACACCTTAAAAATGTGTTTGAATTGAGACTTTAAGATCATCCATTATTTACTGCTTTTAGGAATTTAGTCCTTTATTTTTAATTTTCTACCCCTGTTATTTTTAAGTTTTATATTCTTTGTATATTTTGGGGGTCATGGCTTTGGAAGCGGTGGGCAGGGATATATTTGTATTTCATCACAGAGAGATATATCTCTATCAGGTTTCAAATAGACCTGCGTGAGGGTGACTGCGAGTAAAATGTTAGGAAAAGGCAATGTACTATAGTTATATATTCGAAGTTGCAGAAAGGTCATGTTATTGAAGGTGGTGAGAACCACCAAAGGTTTGATAACTTGAGGCTGTGAATTGAATTAGGTGTTAATTATTGTAGTTATCTCATACCCTTGTGGAGACTAAGTAAGAATATAAAGGAAAGGAGAGGAAGAGTAAACGAGATAAGGGATAAGCTGTACATATTACTTATCCGCAAAAATGGATATTTGTAAAAACGATGTGGCTTATATTATTATTTTAACCGTTGTTGATAAAGAAACATGAGCTCTCATGGGGGTGTCTTCTAGGATAATAATGTCAAATGGTCAAATGGATTCTGTGAGAGTGTATGTTCTATGATATCTGTCATGTATTTTCGTAATGCCTTATGTTTAAGGGAGTAGAATGGACTGCCGAAAATACGTTAGTTTTTGGATCTGTCTTACTCCTTGTTATCTATTAGAAAGCTGGTTTTGTGGGGTTGAGTTAGGCTTTAAACCCACTTTCTAACATGGTATCAGAGAAGGTTCTCTGATCTTCTTCCGGGGTCTTTGCTGTCTGCCGGCGGCCGGCCGCCATGGCCACCGGCAGCCCCTAAAATTTCAATAGGCAGCCCTTTCTCTTTTTCTTAAATCTGTGCCACAGTCAGCACCAGTGTAACCAGTCGTCTCTATCGTCGACCATCGCCGCTATCCACCACCGACCACCGCTGCAGTTTTAGCCGGTAACCTGCGGATCTGGACCGTCTCTTCGAGCGACGGCCAACCACGCCGGTTTCGAGAGCCACTTCTCAATCACGCGCCGCCACGACCATCAGATCTCTCCCATCGTCGCCGACCGCCGTCACAGTTTCGATCGGTGACCAGCGGATCTAAAGCGTCTCCTCGAGCGACGGCCAACCCCGCCGGAGTGAAGACCAGACTCCTCTCCACGCGCCTCCATCTGTCGCCTTCCTTCAGTCAATCTCGGGTGCGTGTTTGTCACGTGCCACCGTCTCGCTGGCGATCGTCACAGTTTCGACCGTTGTCCAATGGATCTGGACCATCTCTTCAAGCGCGACCTAACTCTGGTGGTTGCCGTCTCTGTCTCGTCCGCATGCGCCGTCACGCGCCTCCTCTCTTCGGTAGATCTCGGACGCGTGTTCATCACGCGCCGCCTTCTCGGCGTCGGCACCAAACCACGCCGCTACCGGTCTTCTCGCCGGACCTCTCTCTCTGTTCAAACTATCCAGAGAAGCCATTGCTGCCATCTTCGTCTGTCTTCGTCTCCGCCGTTGATGGTCCAAGCACGTTTTCCGTTGTCCAGGCGTCGTTTGCCGCTATCCAGGCGTCGTTTGTCGTTGTTTGACATCGTTTGTCGTTGTTTGGTGCCATTTGTCGTTGTCCATCTAGCACTGTTTTGCCACTGTGAGGAGTTGTAGAAGTTTGTCACCATCAACTTCTGTTTTCGAAGTCGTTCGTCATTGTCTGTCGCTATCCGCTGTCGACCACTGTTCGCTGCCAACCACCGTCTATTGTCCTTCATTGCCATCTGCTACCACAGTTTAGTCCGACGACTAGTGATATGGATCGCCTCCTTGAGCGAGAGGGCTAGTTCACATCCTGGCGCCACCATGTGCGCCACATTTGTTCGACGTTCGTCTCTGCCATTGTCACATTTTCTCTGGCGAAGTTAGGGATTTTGTGCGTCATGAGGAGTGCGACCCATCCCTAGTCGTTGCCTCATTCTCATCTTGTCACGCACGACTTCTCTCCGATAAGCTTTCGACGCTTGTTTGTCACACGCCACCTTTTCGGTGTCGGAATCACATGACATCATTGTCGTTTGATGAATAAAAGAGACCATCAAGATCTTTCACCTTCACGATTTGTCATCGGCGGCGTCATCATTTTCGTCGTTTGTTGTGGGGGGGAGTATGCTTCCAACCACTGTAGGCCCCATCACCTCATCAGTTAGTGATGGCAGTCCCTGTAGTTTTGTTTCCACCAGTGGCGCGGAGCCTGATATGAAGAGCAGTTATGCCCAACTCCTTGCATCTGGTAGCAACATCTTGTGCTGCAAGCATAGCAGCNAAACAATAAAAAGAATTCTTTTTAAAATACTTAGGATTTCATTTGAATAAATTAGGTTGCCAACTACACATGGATCACTGTAAATATAAGAAATACAGTAAGAGTATGCTGTTTTACCAGATACCTTTTCATAACTATTTACAAGGGACTGTATGCCCCATCAGAATGGTTGAATATAATTCTCATTTATTGTCATTGCATGAATTTGATTACTTATTTGAAACAAATTAGTTAAGCTTCTGTACATATAATTGTGCTTTTATTTATATTTTTTTGTTAGGTTAGCTGTGATTTCCGCATTGCATTCTCAGAGGCGGAGGGAACAATGATGATACAAGTATCATGAACAAAAGTTTATTCTAAGTCTCTTTTTTGTTGTTTGAAATGCTTGAAATACAAATATACATGGCCATCTATTGTATGGGATTAAGTTAGTTATATTCTGTATGCATGTTAGTCCTGAACTTAAAATACTTTGAAGATTGAACTTCGTAACAATGTCATGTCTGCAACACCTTAAAAATGTGTTTGAATTGAGACTTTAAGATCATCCATTATTTACTGCTTTTAGGAATTTAGTCCTTTATTTTTAATTTTCTACCCCTGTTATTTTTAAGTTTTATATTCTTTGTATATTTTGGGGGTCATGGTTTTGGAAGCGGTGGGCAGGGATATATTTGTATTTCATCACAGAGAGATATATCTCTATCAGGTTTCAAATAGACCTGCGTGAGGGTGACTGCGAGTAAAATGTTAGGAAAAGGCAATGTACTATAGTTATATATGAAGTTGCAGAAAGGTCATGTTATTGAAGGTGGTGAGAACCACCAAAGGTTTGATAACTTGACTCTGTGAATTGAATTAGGTGTTAATTATTATAGTTATCTCATACCCTTGTGGAGACTAAGTAAGAATATAAAGGAAAGGAGAGGAAGAGTAAACGAGATAAGGGATAAGCTGTACATATTACTTATCCGCAAAAATGGATATTTGTAAAAACGATGTGGCTGTAAATATTCATATATATTATTATTTTAACCGTTGTTGATAAAGAAACATGAGCTCTCATGGGGTGTCTTCTAGGATTATAATGTCAAATGGATTCTGTGAGAGTGTATGTTCTATGATATCTGTCATGTATTTTCGTAATGCCTTATGTTTAAGGGAGTAGAATGGACTACCGAAAATACGTTAGTTTTTGGATCTGTCTTACTCCTTGTTATCAACCATATCGGAATGCTAGGGGTGCACCAAATTGAAATTCATTCATGTTTTAAACTTTGATTTAATTTGATGTGAAAACTGATGACAGAGAAATGATAAAGTGAAATGAATAGAACTTTAATCCTCATTATTCCAACCTAACAAAAGAGTCAACAGAATGCTCAATATATATTCAGCATATCTTGAGCAAAACGAAAGAGAATAAAAAGGAAAAGAAATACAGCCTGGTCACCACTCATTGACTGAAAATAAAATATCTTGCCAACTAATATAACAAACATAGCAAAAGCACAAAAACGATATTTCTCACACTCTCCCTCAAGATGGGTGGTGAATGTTCAGCGAGTCCATCTTGAACAAATTAATGTTGAAAGGTCTGGGATAGAGTGGTTAGTGAACATATCTGTCAGTTGATGCTTCGAAGGAACATGAGAAAGAACAATGAGCCCATCAAGAACTTTAGCACGAATAAAGTGACAATCCACTTCAATATGCTTAATGCGTTCATGAAAGGAAGGATTCTTGGCCAGTTGAATGGCAGATTGATTATCACAAAATGTAGGGAAAGGAAGTGGAATTTGAAGACATAAATCATCCGCAACATATTTCAGCCATTGCAATTCACAAGCAACAAAGGCTAAAGCTTTATATTCAGCTTCAATAAAGCTCCTGGACACGGTGGATTGCTTCTTTGATTTCCAAGATATAAGACAACTCCCATAAAATACACAATAACCAGTGGTGGATTTTCTAGAGATGCAACAAGTAGCCCAATCTAAATTAGAAAAAGCTTGAAGTCTGTGAGGATTGTTGGAAGGATAAAAAAGACCTAAGCCAAGACAACCTTTGAGATATTTCAAGATTCTGAAAATAGCATTGAGATGAAAGGATCTAGGCTTGGACATGAACTGACTAACTTGCTGGACAGTAAAAGAAATATCAGGTCGGCTATTTGTTAGATACTGCAGCTTACCAATTAATCTCCAATAAGGAGTAGGGTCTGGAAGAAGATCATCATCATCATTCTTGAGCTTATCAGTAGGGTTCGAAGGAGAAGGTGCTGGTTTGCAACCAGTGAGACCAAATTCGACTAAAATTTCTAAACAGTATTTTCGTTGATTCAAGATAAGACCATGTCATGATCTAGCAACTTCAAAACCAAGAAAATATTTGAGATTGCCCAAGTCTTTGATTTTGAATTCTTGATGTAAAAATTTCTTAACATCAACAATATCCGCCATGTTATCACCAGTTAAAACGATATCATCCACATAGATCAAAAGAGCAGTAAAAGAAGTAGCAGATTGTCTAATAAATAAGGAATGATCAGCGGGACTTTGAGAAAAACCATGAGAGATTAAGGAAGTTGTGAGTTTAGAGTTCCATTGTCGAGAAGCTTGTCGAAGCCCACATAAAGACTTGTGCAATTTACAAACCAAATGAGGTTCCGAAAGAATCAATCCCGGGGGAGGTTTCATATAAACCTCTTCATCCAAATCACCACGCAAAAATGCATTATCAAAGTCAAGCTGGTGTAAAAACCATTTACGAGAAACGACAATGGAGAGAAGAAATCTTATGGTTGTGATCGTCACAACAGGTGAAAAAGTTTCAAAGCTGCTTATTCCAAAGCTTCAAGTGTTGTAGAGCATAAAATTGGCTCTATCCAGACGGTAGGCACACAGGCTAAAACAAACTCTTCATTTTTCCTTTTTGTTACTGCTGATATATAAATCACCTTTATCTCTCTAATGCAGGTTGCTTCATTAACTGTGGAGAGGCTAGCAATAACTAAATACAATCAGTCCTTAATCAAGGCTTACATCAATGGAGTGCAGGAGGCAGGAGCTTCTGGTTTGGGTTTTGCTATGCTATACTTTGTCTTTATCTGCAGTTATGCTTTGGGCATTCGGTTTAGTGCGAAAATGATAATCCAGAAAGGATACATAGGAGGAGAAGTTGTGACTGTTATATTTGTTGTATTGTATTGACTGGCTTTATGTAAGTTGTGTATTTCTTTTGGTTTCTAATAATCTATAATTTCAAATACTTGATTCTCTCTTCCTGTCTCTATCGAAGGAATCCAAGGATTAGACTTATAATATGTATTTCTGGCAAACTATATTTCGATTCACATGTTTTTTTTAACAGTGATACTTTTATCTTCATAGTGTACATGACAAAATATGTTTTTTTTTACTTCTATCTTTATTAGAAAGGGTCCTTTCACCTCTATAATTTTATATGATTTATGAATTTTAGAGCTAGATACAATGGTTGGTA